TGATTTATTATATTAATATATATATATATATATATATATATGTAATGTATCAATATTTATATATACATATATACATACATATATATATATCAACATACATTAATTTATGTATATAATATATATAATAAATATATATATATATTATATATATATATATATATAATATAATATATTATTATTTATTTATTTATTTTTTCATATTCATATAGTAGTATATATATATATATATATATAATATTATATATATATATATAATATTATATGTATAATATAGTGTGTGTGTGTGTGTGTGTGTGTGTGTGTGTGTGTGTGTGTGTGTGTGTGTGCATGTGTGTGTGTGGGTTTTTGTGTTGTATAATGTATGAGTCTATATGCAAAGAGTCAGCGAAGAGGTGCAGTTCCGAACCCCGCCGCAGCGACCACAAAATTCGCCGCAGACGGAGCCAGCCGCGAGAGCCGTCAAAGGCAACCGACGTATGCAGAAACCAAACAAAAAAATCCCCCGAAGAGCCAACGAAAGCGGGGAAGGGAAAAAGGAAAAAGATAACAAGAATCGAGGAAAAGAAAATAGAGCGAAAGGCGGAGAGGAGAGAAAGAAAGAAAGGAGAGAAAGAAAGAAAGAGAGAGAAAGGCGAGACGGTTTCCCTGGCCTTGGCACTTCACTCGAACTCGGACGCAGCGCCGCCCTTTGCGATAACCTGTCGCTCGGCGCTTTGTCAACGCCATCTTGGGGATCCCCTTTATTGTCCTTTTCCATTCCTTTCTCCTTGTTTTTAGTTGTGTTAGGGTTTTCTTGTTTTTCCTCTTCCTTTTTTTCCTTTTTCTTTTTTTCTTTTTTGTTTTTTTGTTATCTTAGGGTTGATGTTTTCTGTTGCTTTTTTTCCTCTTTCTTTTTCTTTTTCTTTGTTTTCCTTTTTTTTTTTTTGGTGTTGTTTTTAGTTATCTTAGGGTTGATGATTTCTTCGTTGCTTTTTTTTCCTCTTCCTTTTTCTCTTTTTTCTTTTCTTTTTTTTTTTGTTTCCTTGTTTTGTTTTTAGTTGCGTTAGGGTTGATGTTTTCTTGTTTCTTTTTTTCCTCTCTTTTTTTCCTCTTACTGCTCCTCTTCTTCATGTTCTTCTTCTTCTTATTATATCTATTGCTGTACTATTTTTCGTCAATTCCTCTATCTCTTCTCTTCCTTTCCACCCTCCCCCTTTTATTTATTTATCTATTTTTATTTTTATTCTTTCCTTCTATCCTTTCTTTTCTCCTTCATCCCCCTCTTCTCCTCCTCTTCCTCCCTCCTTCCCCTCCCTCCATCTCCTCCCCTCCTCCTCCTCCCCTCGTCCTCTCCCTCCTCCTCCTCCTCCTCCTCCTGCTCTCCCCAGCCACTCCCCCCCTCCTCCTCCCTTTCCCCCCCCTCCTCCTTCTCCTCCTCCTCAATCCCCTCCCCTCCTCCTCCCCCCCTCCTCCAACTCCTCTTCCTCCTCCCTCCTCTTACTCCTCCCTCCTCCTCCTCCTCCTCCTTCTCCTCCTCCTCCACCTTCCTCCTCCCCCTCCTGCTTCTTCCCCTCCTCCCTCCTTCCTCCCCATCCACATCCCCCTACCTCCTCCTCCTCCCCTCTTCTCCCCTCCTCCTTCTCCTCCTCCTCCCAGCCTCCTCCTTCCTCCCACCTCCTCCTCCTCTACCCCTCTCCCTCTTCACCCTCGTCCTCCTCCCCTCCTCCCTCCCTCCTCCTCCCCCCCTCCTCCTCCCCTCCTCGTCCTCCTCCTTCCTCCCCCTCCCCTCCTCTCCTCTCCCCTTCCCCCTCCTCCTCCTCCTCCTCCTCTCCTGCTCTCCCCGCCACTCCCCAGCCATTCCTCGCTCGAGGAGCATAAGAACATCCAACACATATACTCAATCCTCGTATGCTATTTGTGCCCAACAGTATGCGTGCCTTTTTTCTGTGTCTCTCCCTCCTTATATTCTATCTGTTTTTGCTCTGTTTTTTTGCTTGTTTTTTTTTCCTACTGTATTTATAAGTGTTTTGTAGTTTCCCTCGCTCATCTG